ATGATGTGCACTACTGTGGTGGTATACAGTATGGATTGCCTGACATGATTTGCAAAACAACGCCTTCTATGATACTGAGACAATTGCGGCGCTGTGATCGTTGAGCCACCATGAGATGGTGGACAGCACACGGGTTTGCCTAATCGTCGTGCTTACAGGATTTGAGCACACTTATTGTTTGTGAGCCGATTTGAATTGGTGAGGCTGGACAGATCCAGATGCTGAATATTTGCTGAACTTTGAAGGCCCCGCCTCCGCTCAGGGGCGTCAGTTAGCCAAAATTCGCAGTGCACGAGCCAGCAACGCAGGGAACGAGAACCGTCTTTAATGCACGACTCAAAATAATCACAAACAGCCTTCCGAACTGGCTCAACACGGCACTAACGCACACAGGAAGCCCGAAAACCCAGAACGAACAATCCCCGCAGACTGGCGGTCAATGGGACATACGCAGCGAAACAACAGCAGGAAAGTTAGCGCGAAACATAACAGCAGTAAATCAACCTCACACGCAATTTGCCGTAGAATACGAGCCATCGACTCGTAAGCCGACGCCCCCTGACTGGCGTGGTCCCCTGACTGGCGTGGTCTCCCCTCTGTAGCACACACGGAGGGAAGCCTCATCGCGCCTAGCGCGACCGACACCGCATCCTAACGCTCGATTGCCACAGAAAAGCCCCCTGGCTTGTCTCGCACCCCTTCTTATCTGCCCGCCAGGTTTTTGCCCCCTGTGGCTTTTTTGGAAGCTGATGCCCGTCCTGCACATGTGCAATGCGCCTGTGCTCTCTTCTCCCTGCTTCGATCGTGCGTGCTACAAACACGGGCCCATTGGCCCTGCACTGCCCCCTACACAAGAATGGACACTCCCCTCTGTTTTGCGGTCAGGCAGGTAGGGCAAGTGCGAACTTATGATGCGACGTCCTTTCTCATGTGCGGCGATGTGGCGACGCGACACAACTTTTCAAAAAGTTCTCTTGCCATCACTGTGACCAGCGAGGCGTGTGTCATGAAAGTACGCCAGGAAACTTTTGCGTAGAGTGCGAGGAATGAAAACGCGGAATAGGGGCTTGCCATCATGCGTATCAAGTCATGGTATGTAACGCAGAAGCAGGCCGTCATCGGCTTGCAAGTAACTGCCATAGGTGTTTGAGGACCGTGTGTTCCCGGTGTGTTCCAACTGAACTGGCCTGGCCACTGCATATTTGCTTGCACTGGGCGACACTTCTCTGAGGGTCAAGAAGCTGCTGCCGTAAGACCAGTGTTCCCCATGCATCTTCAGGCATTGTCACAGTCAGGACCTCGGCGGCGGGTTCACCATCTCCGGACAGTGGTGCTCTGGAAAGCGCGTGAGCCACTTTGTACTCAACTTTGTAATTCTATTTCTGAAGAGAAAGAGCCCAATGGGCCAGATGACCGAATGGGTTTTTCATCTTCGACAGCGATGACACGCCTGGTGATCGCCTTGGATCGTAAATGAGGCTCCATCCAGGCACATGTCAAATTTCTTCAGCGTGAATACGATTGCGAAGCACTCTTTCTCTGTTACAGTGTAGTTCCTTTCTGCGCCCGAGAGCATGTGGCTCGCGAATGTTAGTGGGTAAAGCATCCCTTGATATTCCTGGAGCGAAACTACTCCGAGACCCCACTCACTACCATCAGTCTGCACAGTGAAGGGCAAGTTTAAATTAAGTAGGTGCAATCGTGATGTATCAGCCATAGCCTTCGAAAGAGCCTGGTATGCTGCATGCTCCACGTTAGTCCAAGACCAATGGACTCCCTCGTGTAAGATCTCCTCGTGTAAGAGCTGGGGAAGTGGTCTGGCCAGATCAGCACAGTGAGGAATGAAGTGGCGGTAGAAGCCTATCATACCCCAAAACCGTTGCAAGCTCTTGATACCCGTTGGTGGTGGATAATGCAGGATTGCCTGAAGTTTCTGTTCATCTGGTCGTACTGTGCCTTGCTCGACAATGAAACCTAAGAGGTTGATTTTGTTTGAGACCAACTGAACTCTCTGGGGGTTGATGGTGATGCCTGCTTCCTGTGCATTCTTTGGAATACTGTGGTTCATTGCATCAGGTGCTCGTCAAAGGTTTGCAAAGAGACTGCCACTGTTCATGTGGCATAGTTGCCATTGTTCATTGCTTAGTTGAATTTGGCGTGTCGAAGCACAATGTCCATGATGTGCTGAAATGTGGCGGATGAATTGCAGAACCCGAAAGGTAACCCCGTAAACTCGAAAAATCCCCTGTGACAAGTAAATGCCATTTTCTCAACATCACACTCTGCTAATGGGATTTGCAAGAAGCCTCTGCTGCAGTCAAGGGTAGTGAAGAATTTGGCAGCCCCGAGGGAGTACATACCAGAGTCTATTGATGGGGACGGGTACGAGTCTCGAACGGTGACGGCGTTTAACTGCTGCACAAATTTTATTTGGCCGCTCATTGGAGAGACATGGGTTCTGCTACACAACCATGTTGTGTGATGGAGACACTCAGGCATTCAACAGTCTGCAAAAGGCACAGGTATATGGCTTCGTGCCAATAGAAAAAGAGGACTGTGTCAACCATGTGCATAAGCGCATGGGCACAGCACTTCAAAACCTCCTGCAAAAACAAAGAGCCGAAGGAAAGCCAAGCCTTGGCGGCAAGGGCAAACTGACAGGCGAGCTGGTCACAAATCTCACGTCATATTATGAATGGGCAACCAAGGAAGCAACCAAGGAAGCATTGAGGCCATGAATAATGCTGTCTGGGCAACCTTTTATCACGTAGCATCTACTGATGCAAGCCCTCAGCACTCTCACTGCCCAACTGGTGAAGAGTCATGGTGCAAGTTCAACAAGGCTGTTGCCAAGCAGGAGACTCCTCCAAATCATCGCTACAGCCTGCTGGAGTATGTGGTTGATGCCTTGGGGCCTATTTGCACGAAATGCTGTCAGATCAAATTTTGATATGGAATGCTATTTGATATGGAATGCTCTCATATCAAATTTGTAGCAATATTTTATGAGGAAGATGTCACAAGGCTGGGCAGAATGCGTTTATATAACAGTTAATATTTGAAAATCTAAAAGTGATAGCAAAAAACTAATTGCATATTTGTTTTCAGCTGTGAAAAATACACATTGTATTAAAATTTCAGCTGGAAATACTGAAAATTAAAAAAAAATTTCTCAGACCAGTGTCTCCCCTTAAATGAAGCTCAAACATTGCCCCAACAGTTCCCTAGCTCAGCCTCTCAGGAGAGGCTGCTGCTGCAATAGGTTTACCAGGTTATTATGAGAGCTCCGCCAAGATCGCGGGCTGAATATCACCCGCTGCTCTAGCGAAAACGTCGAGTGAAGGGAACGAACGATCCCTTAAGTACGCCACACGGATGTGACTGCCTAACAGCATGAGTCACTCTTTCTGCTTTAGATGCCGAAGGGCCCACGTGGTCGTAAAGCTCCTGAAAGGACTGTATGTATTCCTGGAGGCTTTCATTTTCACCCTGTGTCCGCCTGCAAAGTTCATCTTTCATATGATTGACGTATTCGGGGGGAAGAAATTCGGCACGGAATAGCTGCTCAAAGTAAGACGAACAGTCGAAAAACTGGCGACGACGCCAACGAGCGGCAGAGCCAGACAGGGGGACGGGCAGAACGCGTAGCAGAAGTCTCATTTGTGAGGGCTTGCGCGTCGCGATAATCTTGTAACTTTTGCAAAAAGTCTGCGACTGATTTCTTGTCCGTGTGTCCCTCGTATGTAGGCATGGCCAGCGGTAAGCGAAAACTGTAGCTTGGTGTAGCCTGCCGTTGTAGCCGCGCGGTCAGCTGCTCAGGGATATGGGATGTATCTGGCACGGACGCCTCCTGTTGCGCCTTGTCGGGCATAATACTAGACTTGGGTACGTAGGGTTATCACCCTCACAAGCTGTAATTTTAATACGTGCAAACCATATTGAGATTGCACGTATAAATACGTGCAAACCATATTGAGATTGAAAGACTGATGGGTGTTTTATGCGTGCGGTTCTCGTGGTGCGAAAGCAAACTCCAACAAAAAGAATGAGTACTGCATGAGAAAACCACGTTGGAAGGAATGAAGGGAAGGTCAACCATATGCGAAAAACACGTTGGACGCCAGACGAAGGCCCCCGCCTTTCTCAGGGGGCTCAGTTAGCCAGAATTCGCAGTGTACGAGCCAGCAACACAGGGAACGAGAACAGTCTTTAATGCACGACTTAAAATAATCACAAACAGCCTTCCGAATAGGCTCAGCAGTGCACTAACGCACAAAGGAAGACCGAAAACACGGAACGAACAATTCCCGCAGACTGGCGGTCAATAGGACATACGCAGCGAAACAACGGCAGGAAGAGCACGAAACACAATAGCAGTAAATCAAACTCGCATGCAATTCGCCGTAGAATACGAGCCATCGACTCGGGTAAGCCGATGCCCCCTAACTGGCGTGGTCTCCCCTCTGTAGCACGCACGGAGGAAAGCGTCATCGTGCCTAGTGCGACCGACACCGCATCCGATCGCTCGCCTGCCACCGAAAAGCCTCCGGGCTTGACTCGCACCTCGGGCTTGTCTCGCACCCATTCTAATCTGCCCGCCACGTTTCCGCCCCGTGCCCCCTGCGGCTTTTTTGGAAGCCGACGCTCGTCCTGCGCATGTGCAATGCGCCTGTGCTCTCTTCGCCCTGCTTCCACTCTGCGTGCCACGGCCCATCGGCCCGACAACTTGGTCTTGTGCAAAGCGAATTCAGGCCATGTGATGTGAACCGAAAGAACGAAGACTAGGTACATTTGTTTACCATTCTTCATTCCGTGCTTGCTGAAGCGGCGTGCATTGTTGCTCTCAGACACTAGTGCCAAAGTTACTTGTAGTGTATTTATAGGAAACTCTATGCACACTTCCTGGCTCGTGCGCAAGTGCCCTGGGTGGACTGCAAATGGAATGCAAGAAATGATCTGATGTAGCAGACTAGATGAGTGCAGCTTTTGTATCGTTTCAGGCAAACCGAAACCTGAGCACAGTGAATGGCTTTCAAGTGGATGCCAAGGCTGGCCTTTTGCTGGTAAGAAAGCACTATTGGCACTCTGTCAGCCATCAGTAGAGTGTATATGTCGCAGCACAGCGTCCTAATAGGTGCAGAGTTTGAAGGCTCTATTTCTCTCATACAGGTGACGAGTGTCAGAAGGGAAGACGAAGGAAAATACCGCTGCCAAGCTGTCAACCCTGCTGGCACAGACATTCGGGAAACAGCTGTGGCCATTATCGGTGAGCAGCCCGTTAACTTCTATTTCAACTGTTATTTAGTTAATGTAGCAGGTGCGGTGCTCCAGCCTTTTTTAGTTGCCTCTGCATGTGCCTGATCATTTTTTCGTATTTGACGATGAAACAGCAGAAGAGTTTTGACGAATAATCATCGTTTGTAAGCTTTTCTGTCATGTTTTACCAAACAGCGGATAAAATGATTTTAACGTTACTTTGCAGCAAAATGGAGCTGGTCTCTTCAATCAGATTTGCCTATATGAAGCTGGGCTGGTAGTATTGCAACTTCGTAAGAATTTCATCATAGGCTTACGAAAAAAAAAAAAAAGAAAACACCTTCAGCCTTTAATGTTCCTGCGGAATTATTGGGACATCATTACTCTTGCAAGAACTCTATCTCCTGTTGACAAACTTTATCCAAGTGCACTGAAAATTTAATTTATTAATTTATTTGCAACTTATCTGCGGCTTGGAAACCAAGTAAAGAGAGGAAGTTTTACGCTCGTTACTGTTTTTTTAATTAAAATAGTTTTTACTGTTGAATACTAATAACTTTCTACATTACTACATTACATATTTCTTACATTACAGTTCTGGCACCTTTTACAATGGCACTATGTGGAAAAAATTCACACCGCTGCAAAGCTGTTTCAAGAAAACTGCTGCTTGGTTCATGATTAAAATAGATTTAGCAGTGCAAAAAGAGACTGAACTTTCAGGAAGGACATACACACAGCGCTGAACTGGTTTATTACAGTCGACTCTCGTTAATACGAAGTTCACGATGACCGTGAAAAACTTCGAATTAAGCGGAATTCCAATTAACCACAATGAATGAAAAATACATTTATTTTAAAGCAATTTATGAGAAAAAATCTGTGATTGCCGTTTGCTTCTGTTTGCTGAATCTTGCAGCAGAAAGCAAGTCCTGCAGGCTGTATATGTGCCCGGGTGCTTTCTTGGCGTTGCTCTCAGCAGTGAAAAACCGCTGCGCGAGGGCAAGGCCTCGGGCTACATCAGCAGCCCGCGGTAGTGGCTCACTTGCGTCGTCGTCGTCGTCAACCTCAGTTTCGTGACTAGGCTCGCTGGGCCAAACCATCTCCACGATCTCAGCGTCCGACAGTGCACCGCACGTTTCTACCAAACTGTCAGTGGCAATGTACTCCTCGAAAGGGACGTCGCCGAAAGCTGGCAGGAGACTACAGTGAAATCTCGATACAACGAATTTGAAGGGACCGCGGAAAATAGTTCGTTATTTTGAAATATCGTTATAGTGAAAACATCGAAAATTCGCATTAAAAATCGTAAATGCGACAAAAGGAGTCGCCTACCTTTGCTGTGTACACATCCGCAAACGCTTGATTTTATGACGAGCGTGAAAAGAAACAAAACGCGAAGTATTCCGGAATGAGCGCACGTTTATTTGAAAAAGTCGGTGATCTTGGCCTGGCGGGTGCCGCTCAACTGCCGCAGGACGAACGCTTCGAAGTTGTCCACATTCTTATGCTCTGCTTCGGTGGCATTGCTGCACCTGCCAAGGTAAGTGCGCATCTTTCGCACGCATTCCATGATGTCGGCCTTGGAAAGCGATTCTTCTGGTTGGCTAACGGGCGCGGTCTCAGCGTCGTCTTCGCCATTGGCGTCCTCGTCGCTGTTATCACCATGAACAGCACTGACGATGTCATCGGTCGTCAGTTCGGCTGACGTGCATGCTTCGTCGTCGCACTGCACATAGTCCTCGAACGTCACTGAGGCATCCATCGCGAGTCTTTCGACGACTTCTTGCCACATGCCACTCGCGTCGCTTTCTTCGCTGCCTTGTTCAGATTCAGATGGCATTACTACCAAGCCTGCCTTCCTCCAGCAGTTCTGGATGGTGGTTGATGTAACGCTCCACCAGCTGTACATTTGTCAGCCTGACATTAACAAGATGCGCCGAGCAGTTGTCGGCGATAATCAGGATTTTCCTACCTGCGCTCCTCATCTCATTGTCCACCTTTAGTAGCCACTCAGAGAATAACTCTCGTGTCATTCACGCGCGTGAATTAGCCCGATAATCGCACGGCAATGAAACAACGTTCCTCATGCAGCGAGGCTTCTTGTATTTGCCGATCACCAAGGGCTTCAGCTTCTTGGTGCCTGTGGAATTGCAGCATAACAATACCGTAATCCGGACTTTGGACTGCTTGCCGCCTTTGCAGCTGTTCCCTTTAAAATGCATGGTTTTATCAGGAAGCATTTGATAGAACGCCATTTCGTCCGCATTGAATATATCATCTTCGGAGTATGAAGCGACGATTTCGCGGAACTTCTCATCCCTCCATGCAGCAGCGCTTGCTGCGTCTGCCGCCTTCTCTTCATTAGACACCACTTGCCAGGTGATTCCATTCCTTTCACGGAAACGATGAAGCCACCCCGCGCTTGCTTCGAAGCCTGTGATGTCCAAAGCATCAGCGAATTGCCGGGCTTTTTCCTGCAGCATGGGTCCCGACACCGGCACATTTTGAGAACGCGCGTCCTTGAACCAAGTCAGTATACTGCAGCATCCACTTCTTGGAAATTCCCAAGTCGGAGCCGTTTTCTTGACGGTGCGAGTTGGGACCCTCGGTGCAGCTCGAGGATCTTTTGTCGGTCCTTCAGGATGGTTGCGACAGTTGATGGTGCAACCCCCATCTCGTTCGCAATGTGGATTTGTTTTTTACCGGCGTCCACTTGAGAAAGAATATCCATTTTTTCTTTCAAAGAAAACTGCCTCCGTTTCTTTTTCGCGCTGCTTCCGGAGCTCATCACGAACGCAGAAACGAATCACTCTAACCTTTAAAACGAGAAAGCCGTACGACAATCGTGCGACGTTGCCGGTCGACGTAACAAAACAAAGGCGGCGAGGTTAGGCTCGACCTGGCTCAACGAGCATGCAAAAAAAAACAAAAAAAACATCGAAAACAAGGTACTGGCAATGGCGATAGGGCTAGCCAGGCTAGTGCGCATTTAGCATAAGGCAACGCATGGAGAAATGAGCAGGAGCTCTGATGATGATGATAGTGCCACATATGGCGCTGGGCATTTAGACCGCCGCACGTAATTTTTACGCTAGAAATTCGTTATTTTGAAGTGCTCTTAAGGTACCAGGGTGATAAAATTTGATACGTTATTCTGAAACATTCGTTATTCTGAAATTCGTAGTAGTGAAATATTTTTACATTGAAACAATGGACATTTGGAAGGGGATTTCCGAAATATTCGTTAATCTGAAAAAATCGTTAATCTGAGGTTCGTTATAACGGGATTTCACTGTATCAACGTCAAGCTCACTTGTGTCTTCTTCCCCCACTGTACAAGACGCGTGATCATCTGCACCACTTGGAATGAAGCCGCACGCCCTAAAGCAGTTTGAAATGGTTTCATCCTTTGCGTGACCCCACGCTCGCGCCAGCATATGAATAGCACTGAGAAGGCTCACCTCATACTGACTTGCATTGTCCATACACAACAGCATCCGCTCAAGAAGATGCTTCCTGTACAGTACTTTCACGTTTTTGATGATCCCCTGGTCCAGTGGTTGTAACACCGATGTAGTGTTCGCTGGCAGGTAGGCGACATGTATTGCACTCAAGAGCGGCGCATTCATGTGTGCACGGCATTGTCCACAAGGAGCAATACATTGCGTTTAGATAACGCGAACTTGCGATCCAATTTTGTTAGCCAATCCTTGAATAGGTCTGCGGTCATCCACGCTTTCCTGTTAGACACGTAGTCGACAGGTAGCGTTTTCACGCCCTTGAAACATCTAGGCTTAGCAGCTTTGCCTATCACGAGCAGGCGACATCGCTCAGTGCCTGTCATGTTCGCCGCTATCAGCACCGACACTCTTTCTTTGCTACGCTTCCCTCCAGCACAGTCATCGTCCTTAAGGGTCAGTGTCTTCTCGGGCAACATTCTGTAAAAAAGTGCTGTCTCGTCGGCATTGAAGATATCTTCCGGCCGATATACTCCCAAGTATTTGCTAAGCTGATCTTCTCTCCACGTATCACATGTTTCAGCGTTGACGGCAGCCTTTTCCCCGTTAACGCTTTTAAACACCATATCGTGGCGCTGCTTGAACCGTGTGAGCCACCCTTCGGACGAAGCAAAGTTCTCGATGCCTAGCATAATCGCAAGCGATGACGCTTTCGCTGCAACGATATTGCCGCTAAGAGGAAGTCTGTTGCTTCGAGCCTCCCGAATCCAGATGAGCAGCGCTTGCTCTAACTCCGGGTGGGTGCCGGTGCGCATTCTCTTGCGAGACATGTTGAACTGGTCATTTTCGAATGCGTCCAGTACCGAGCGCTTGTTCTTCAGGATGTTAGACTGGGTATTAGGCTTGATGCCGTATTTCTGCGCAATGTCTTGCTTGGCGGTGCCTCCTTGTTCAACATCTTTCAAAATTTTGACTTTCGTCGCCAAGTCAAGCGTCTGATAAGGCCCGGGAGTTGGCATAGTAAATGCACGTTGAGCTTCGTCGCACGTGGAAACGTTGAATCCGCACACGACTGTAACGAGATCAACAATGAGGCCAAGTCAAGCGTCTGATGAGGCCCGCGAGTTGCCATAGTAAATGCACGTGGAGCTTCGTCGCACGTGGAGTCTGCACACGACCGTAACGAGGTCAACAATGAGGCCCGGAACCGGAACCGCCGGAGCAGCCGCTTCATGATCTGGGGCGCTGCATGCAACTGCGATGCCATCAGCTGACGCTTTGAGCTGCGGCGCTGTGGTCAACTGCGATGCCCTTGGGTGCCGGTCGGACACGCATTGTTGTTTCGCACTTCGAAAATAGGAAATTTAACAAACGTTACGATTTCCTCCGGGAATTCGATTGAAAATAAATTTGAATCAATCGAAATTTCAGACCTCTAGCTTCCAATTACCGAGAATTTCTTCCTGTTGAACTATCAACTGATAATTTCAATTAAGCGACTTCGAATTATCGGGGGTCGCCTGTACTTTGAACACAAGGCATTTTTTGT